GTCGCGAGAGAATCTCTCGAAATTGAAGAACCATATCGGGTTATTTACCCGTTGGTTTTTTCGTCGGTACGCCTGTTTTCTGAGGGGCCGTTAAATTACGACATCATAAAGTTTGTAGGCGCGCGACGATAAAATCGCGAAAAATACGATCGCGGCACCGATAATAGCGATGGTATTAATAAGCGCCAGGAGAAATATCTGTAGCGATTATCTGATGCACATGCCATAACAAATAAGCGCCAACAAATTCGCAACAAAGAGACATATAATTTTTTCGCACAAACGCCAGGATGACCCTGCTTCGTCGATCGATCCCGAATTTTAAAGTGAGCCTGCGTTGAAATATCCCTTGAAATAACTTAATTTTTTTTATATTTTATTATCGCATATTATATATTTAAACAATTTGAAATTATTCAGTAAACGTAGCCCTTTTATTCAAATAATCAAAATATTAAAATTATAATTTAATAAATTTTAATCAATTCTAAAGAAACATGATATTTCGCGTTCATTAAATTAAATTTACTTTAAAATTTATTGTTTATGCAGAGAGCATCTGGAGATGCCAGATATTTACTTAATTAATTTTTGAAATGCAATAATTTCGAACAGTTTTGACATTTTGATCCACAAAAATGAGAGCAATAATTATGTTTATTCTTGACAAACGCGTTTATTTGTCATAATCAACATAGGCTATATTCTGTATAACATATCAAGAGAGTCAAACTTTCTCGAATTAAGCTTCTTACAATCTTACCTTGAGCCCAATCTTCTCGTCGGTGAAATTCGCGCGCGATCCAAAATGCAACAGAAAGATAAAGAGGGAGAACGAGAAAGAGAGAAATAGAAATGAAGAGGAGTGTCGAGGCTGCACTCTCGTAAAGTAACGAAACGTCGAAACGGTAATGCGCTGCATAATTTCCAAAGAGTTACGAGTCGCACGTCCACGCAACTGCTGCGCTTCATAGCGTTGCACACACAACTGACATATAAAATAAAAATTAATATAGCGATGGAAATGCGAGTTTCGGTAAAATTCTAGAAAGAATCGCATCTGGAGCAAAGATGCAAAAAAGGGAACAAAAAAACATTCAAAAAAGGGGAACAATCATGTGTACGCTGTTATTATCTTGGAGACCGAGTCAGTTTGCATTCGAGATGACAAATACATACGTGTGTGCACGCATATATCTCTGCAGTAATTAGCGCCGCTATCAAGGCATTTCGATGTAAAAGCTCTCGTGAAATGAAGACATTGTTCGAGTCATTATCATATCATCACGTAATCATCGCGTAACCGTTAATTAATACAAATATCGAATCAGAAAAAAATTATTTTATTAGTAAGTGAATTTCTCTAATAACTTTTAATTTCCGAGATTTTTTTATGGTGCAATTTATATATATTTTATTTAGACAACATTATATAAAATTATCTACACTCATTCTCTACATCAGATGAAAGATAAAATTTAACGTGTCATAAAATAAAACTATTTCACTTGATTTTATATTTTAAAATAAAAAGATATTTTTTTTTAATCGTTTGAAAAGTGGTCATCTTCATATTTTGCTACGCATATATTTCAAGAGCGAGTACGAAGCTGCGGCAATTTCTGAGCCGTCCATATTGATGAGGAAATCCATATTTCAAACGTTGCATCTTCCAGGAAACCCTCTCCTCCTCCGCGGGAAGAACTTTTTTCTCTCTGGATTTCTTTTCCGTTCGTAAATCAAGATTCTACCGCTTCGCGTGGAATCCTACTTCTCTTCTCATCTCGACGCTTCCGTTTACCACATGAGATGACCTCTCCTGCGGTCTTTCCACGATTACCATCTGTAACGATGTATTTCGGGGACCCTGTGTCACCGAGCCTGACAAATTAGCAGCCTAACGAGACGCTCCCGTCGTAGAGATTTCATCTCGTTGAGTTTTTCATCCCGCGAGAGTCATGCATTTTAATGACTTACCGCGAAACTTTAACTTTACGAGCGCGCGGAAAGGGCACGAAATCCTTGCAAGCTTGCTTTTATTCGGATAACGATTTTCCGCATCCCGCGATTCTTATTTCATTCCTCGTTCACCGATTATTTGAGTACAGCACTCAATTCGATTGAAGACGGGAATCTTGCTTCGGAAAAGACAGGAAAGCATGTCGCCGATAAACAGACGGAAGAATAACTATTTATTTCATGCATCTCCTGAAGAAATCTGCGCGTCGTCCAATCGCGAGGAAATTACTTGTGGAATGCAACACGGTTGTTCCATTTCTCGATGGGGTAAAACGCGAGTCGCGAGAATTTATCATTTATTTATGTTTTCACGGACGATATAAATAATATTCGATATCTGGAAACTGGAACATACATTTTAAAGCATCAACGTAAAGCGATACACAAGTGTTTCTCTTGAAATATTTCCTTTCTGAATATACGGAAAGGGAAAAAGAAAAATAGATCGATATTATTGATGCGTCATCATTTTCAGAGATTTTCCGATTTTTATTTTTATCCATTGTAGAGTACGTATATTTTCTTAGAGCCTGAGAAGGAGTTATGGAATCGAACGTAATATATCGACACTCTGCAGTAATCAAATTTTAAGGGCCAAGTTAATGTTTGGTGATCCCTACGATCTTACACCCACGTGTTTCATGGTTGTGGTCACGCGTAGACAATGGTCCCACATGCATTAAAAGAGAAAAAAAAATCGAACGATCTCGTACTCAAACCAATGTGGGAGTATCCTTTCTCGAGAGGCGCGGAGGGAGTCTCGTATTACGTATCCCTTTGTATGCATGTAAATCTACCGGCAATGGCGTAGAAACGAACGCGAAACAACGGCAAAAAAGAGGAAAGTGTGTTCGTTTACTTTCTCTAAAAGCTCACGTTCAACAATGAGCTGTGTAAACTCTACGACTTTTGTTTTTATTATATGTTTGTCATTGCATAATTTATTACTTGTGAGAGCAAAAAATATATATTTTGATACAATTCCGAGCATCATATGATTCAATAATTACTTTTCATCTATTTTCTTGTAGCAAGGCAAATATTTTAAAAAAACATTTTCTTTGTATTGCTAAAGTTATCGAAATCTCTTTCGTATATACAGGCAAACGTGTATATTTGTGTATTTATTTTTCATAATTTTATACTGTTTGTTAATTTATTTGCAATTTTTTCTACTCCTCTTCTATGCAAATTATATCTCTATTATGGAAAACTTTGCGAACTAGCGCGTTATATAAGAATTTATATAAGAATAAAGTTTTTGTTTGAAAATTGTTTCGTGATGGACGTCACTTTATGACAAAACGTGAAAATGAATAATGCGGTGTTTTTGTAGTCTTTAATACGGCTTTTACGAGCACGTTAAAAACTTCTATAAATATGATAATAAAGTCTCACGAGACGAAATGAAAGTAATCGTCAGACGATTATAAAACTATCGAAAATATAAACACGAAATGTGCAAACATCTTTATTGTTACTAATAATATACATTTATGAATGTGATAACGATATTTTTATTGTGATTCGGAGAATTTCTCGACGCCATTGTGAAATAATAATATATATGTACGTCGCGTTTGTATCCCATACGCGTATACATTTTGTATGTGCGTCGAAAGCACGAATCGTTCCCCCTTTCTCCGCCTTTAAAATTTTGTAGCCGTATATCGTAACAAATGATTCTTTATTGGTCAAATCTCTTTTTCGTGTAAATTTATCTCGTTTCTTATTCATCCTTTTCTTTCACGCGTGCCTCATTCAATTGAAAAAATTCTCCGGTACTTTATACATATAGTATATTGCTTACAAATTTCGGTATATATTAAATATATACATAATACATTTTATTTATAAAATGTTTTAATATTAGTACGAAAATTTTCTCGAAAGTGCATTGCCATGTTATCATTTTGTGTGCAACAAAAAGCAGTCAATTACATTATTCATATACATATTGAGTTGTTTCGTGAATATTTACTTTTAATATAAAATATTTGATTAAAAACTGAAGTTGTTTTGTATTATTATCATTATTTTATAATGGTACTAAACTTTTAAATGGTATTAAACTTTTAGATTATATTACTAGCTTTTGTTTAAAATAAATATATTAGATCAGTTTTAAGTTTATTAATTGTAATCAGAAGCAGATAAAAGTACTATCAAATTTTGCATTGATTAATCGAGAAGAATTGTTTACAATATTTATTTATTCATTTTTAATATTACAATTGAATTAAAGTATACAATATGGAAGACTCTTCATTAATATAAATGCTTATTTAGTTGTACATAATATGAAACCGCGATACACACAACATAAATATCGAGCAAACATCGATATCGCAAAATCCATATTATCAGCGCATATTTTAATTGAAAGTTTATTTATTATTCAAACTCTCTTACAAGACCATTATTAAAAATTTTCTATGCTTACTTTATCGGTTCGCGCAACACGATAATTGTATGACTTTTCTCGTATAAGTCATAATTTTACTATCGTACTTTACGATCAGTTTGCGTTCTCACTGGACTCGCAGATAACGATATTCCGAAAAATTTGCAAAATTGTAGGCTTATCAATTGTAGCTTATAAAAAAATTGCAGCATAATTATATCATTTTAATATTCAAATTAAATTTAACATTCAAATTATTATATGAAAAAAACATATTTTTCTAAACATTGTATGAAATTCCAAAATAGAAATTCAATGATATAGAAATTCTAGGAATTTATTATGAATCAGAATATATTCTTACAAATTATCTAGACCACTATCTTATCTAGCCTAATCTATTTAATTATCTTTTCTTAATTTTTACATTGCTATTTATTAAACTGTTCACAGCGCGTTAATGTGTTTCTTTTATTGACCTAGCAAAATTTATTTAAAATAAGATTTATATATAAGCGAAACATAAATGATATATAATAAAGTATAGGATATAATAATAAAAACAGAAAACATATTGCTTTATTTTTCATCTTTCTTTGTATCCGTAATAATTTCCGGCTTGGCACCTGGAACTGCGAGGTTCAATTTCCAGGCAATCGTTTCGGTGGCACCAGTTTTTGGATTCAAAATAGTTTCATTGTGATAAAGCATATCTCCTATGCGTTTCTCTACGACGTCACGTACATATGGTTCTCCATTTGGTGTGCGACCACTCGTGACTATTCTTGATATACCATCAATATAGGTAACAATTTTCGTGCCATCAGTACTCGTGGTTATAATACTGCTGTCATTAACGCTTATTATGTTTCCTTGTGCATCTGTGAACAAATTTTGATAAATTTTTTTCAACCGTCGATTACAACCAGCTGCATAAATAACATGCGGTCTTAGTATTAACAGATTAAATGACTAATTGTTAAATGAATAATCGTTTATTCGTGACACATATATGAATCTTTCGAAAGTTAAATTGATCAATATGATTAATACATGATTAGTGTTTTAGTAAAATTAAAAAATTTATAGAAAGTTTGACGTGTCCGAGTTCATATATTTAAAAAAATATGATATTTAAAGAAATGCTCGGAGAATTTTGAATAAATGATAAGACCTGACACAATAAATAAAATTATATTTGAATCGGACAATATAAAGTTTTAAGACACCTTATACATTCGCTAATTAATTGCCCTTAAATTACAGCATCATCAACATTCGGTGCTTGATTTCAAAGATATTACGAAAAATGTAATTTTTTCCGGTACTAATCATTATTAACGCGATTTGAAATGCTTCGGAAGCTATATGGACCAATGCATAGGTAAAGGTTCTAATTCGTGGAATTAAACGTCGTAAATATCGAATTAATGAACCGATTGAATAGAAGAAAAGGATTCTTGCCTCGAGACTTGAAAGAGAATGCAAGTGTGTATTCCGTATCTCGGTTGATAGTGAAAGGAACGGCTGTACGGCGAATGAGATGCGATTTTGAATGCAATTCTTCGCATCTCATTTTAAACGCTTTATTTTTATTTTAACACGAAGAGTATTGCTAGCCATGATTCATGTCTGAACTATTATGCAAATTCGTCGACCTCTCTTCCGCTCGCGCAACAAGGATGAAAAATATATATTTACATAGTACACATTGTGTGTGTGTGTGTATATATATATATATGTATGTATCCCGGAAAGGTCAATATCTCATATATATCTCATATCAATATCTCATATATATATATATATATATATATATATATATATATATATGAGATATTGATAACTTTTCCGGGATATTTTGACAAAAAAAATAACTGATTAAAACAGACACAACAAAGTGTAATTAAATAAAATAATATTAAACTATGTAAAACATTAAAAATTAAAAAGATAAAAATAATAGAATAAAAGTAATAGAAAAACGATGAAATTATTTTGTAATGCAATACAGATTCGAGAGATTGATTATATTTATATTTCAGGTTTGATAAACACAAAAGATATGGTGTAGAAATATTTAACTATTATTTTAAGTTATTTATTATTATTTATATAAATATAATCAAATCATTTATATTAATATCAATCAAACGAAAGCTGAATGAAAGTTAAATATAACTATTCGATTTATCATAAATTAGTAAGATTATTTTATCGTATTGTGCTCTTAAATTTTTATATTGAATAGATACCAATTAACAATGTATTGTAAAGTATCTTACCTCTCGGTAGATTCTGAATTGTTTGCTCAACATTTTTTTGAATATTTTCGGTGAGATGTGTCACATCTTCATTAATTTGTGCCACCTGTTCATTAATTTGTCGATGCATGTTACTGAGATCACGATTGAGATTGCTCGTAAAATCGTTAACCCAATCGCCAATCGTTGCGAAGCTTGCTCCGTCAATGACACTGCAACATTATGTATACAAATTTATGAAAAAATTATCAGATAAACAATCAATTATATATTTTATCTATATTCGCGCACAGAACAATAGCTTCTCCAATGATGCTTATGCGATGATTCAATACACACATGTCCTTCGACATATAATGGCGCATGTAATGATATAAATAGTTCAATGCTATTATCATATCTGCTATATACGTCGTAGGTAAATCTCGGTGCAAATGAAAGCAAGTTGCCTTATTCGGCCTTACAATTATTAATTCGTAGTATATCAAAGTATGAGCCAAATAAGATTGCTTTAGTAGCGATGATTAATATCACCTTGGATATGATAAGATGCATAACTGACCTGATCAACAGTGTAACAATCAGTACGAAGTGATTGATTTGCGTGGCCATTTTCGCTCGCGTTCTTCTTTAAATCTCTCTCGATTTTTGATTCGCGAGATAAGTGTATAGAGAAAAATGCCTCGCTTTCTCACAATCGTTGCACTGAAGGAGAACCGCAATGAAGGATCCGGTTAGATACCGTACACACCTTATTTCTTAACGAAAGGCACTGGCGACTCAGCAACACATATGGCACTAGCGCTGGTAACGTTCTGTCGTGCGGCTCGTCGTTTCTCTGCACTTATATACACAGACATTCTCGTGCATGATGTTATCGAAGTTGCTATAGTTATATATTGTACGTGTCATACGACACACCGATAGTCTCGACCGAAACGTGAATCAAGCCTAGAAGGAAAACCGTCTCAATATCCTTGGATAACGTCATACTACGTATGAACTACTATCGATATTAGAGACGAAGGGAGACATTAAAAAGCAAGAAAAAGACAATTTATATGGCAATAATTATTATCAATAATGATATGAGAATACATAAAAATAAAAAAAAGCTCTATATTTTAAAACAGAAATAAAAATATTGTTCTTTTTGTAATATTCAATAACTTTAATATTATTACAAATATTATTATATAAATAAATATTATAATTATTTTAATATAATATCTATTTATATAATAATATTAACATTGTAAATATATATTATTTTTTGTTGATAAATTTTAAATGATATTTCAATTACAATATTTTATTATTATTTATTGGTGTGTGCATTCTTAATATATATGTGCAATTTAATCTAAAACATTTTTTTATATGTTTAATGATGTTATATAATAATTTTTTATATATTTAATAACATTATATGATAATTATGTATGTAATTTTTTCAGTTGCAGCCATTTTTTTCCTCAAAGCATAATATAATATTTTTTAGAGAGACCTTCAACCATCGCGATCAATCATCTTTTCAATCAGACATGGATAAACGAATAACACGCGAGGTGTCAAATCGAGATAAATCGCGTGTATCAAATTTTTCCTGAATTTCACAAATTTTAACGACACGGAAGAAGGCAATGTGCTCGGTGAAATTTATCGCGACATCTTTCTGACCACTATAATTCCATGGGTCGATCGACGATTTAAAATTGTGCGACCGCGTGATATACGAGCTCTCGTTACACTTTTCTCGCGCCATAAAAAGAACAACCTTTGCACGGTGTCGGCCAACGAATCACACACAAGCACGTATCTCACGCGTGTTTCTCGATTACGTGGCCGTACGGTAAATTAACATTTCGTCAGCTTGAATTAATGATGGAAACCGATATAAAATCGAGCGAGTTCAAAATGCAAATAATTAGGAAAATGTAGCTGCGATTATTATTTTAAAAAAGATGGATTTTGTTGGGCAAGTATTCATTAAAATAATGTAAACATGGATGTCATTTATGAACGATCATGTCCGGTATTCTGACCTTGTCCGAGTTTGTCGCGTGCCGATTGACGTGTGATAAATATGCAATTAATTTCTTCGAGGGGCTCTGTATCACGGGAATCTCTGCAGACATTGAACTTATGGTTCCAATTCCCCATTCCTGGCTTGAATCGAGAGATTTCGCTACGCGATGTTCTTTTTATTATCTTCACACGGTCGCTGCGCCCTAATCGTCCTAAACGTCGTGGGTCGCGACGCAAGGTAACGAGATGCTCGTCGTGAAGCCGATTAAAGATGAACGTAAGAGGATCGGACGCGGGCGGTCGTAAGAAGACGTGATTTATTTTAGACAGACGTCAGCATTTTTCCGCTCGCCGCAATCTAGAATGATACGTTTTTTTCTTCTCTTTCTTTCTTACACACGTCTTATGATAAAGTTATAGCGTTCCAGGTTGCTTGCAATCTTCTGTAAATTTTTTAAACGATTAATGTAATTGGCAATTAAAAGATATTATCTAATATACGTACTCATACTATAATGTTACATCACGCTTGTTCGAGCGCTAATAGCGCTCTAAGTAATAATTAATTGCTAAATATAGGATATGACAATTTTGCTGGGAATTTATTCTCTTTATATTCGCGAAAAAAGTGAGAAAAGTTAATATCTTGAGGATTAATTAATGATGTAAAAAAATAATTTATTTACAATGTGTGCGCATATAATGGATTCAATTTTTACTGAATCTATAAAAAACTTTAAAGCAAAGTGCACGTTTAAATCATCATCTTTCGAGAGCGATGTTTAGTATATCCTTTTAATATATTTTTTGTGCATATTTTTTTACGTTTTTCTGCTGCATATATACATGATGTTGCGAGATGATGAGAGAGAAGATTGCCATGCGCTGCGATCAATCTGCAACAGTACGAAATTCTTTACCCCATTCTCATTCGACGTAAAACAAAATTCCAAGAAAATTACTTTCAGTGACGGAGACTCTAATCGCTTACCCATCCATCACTATCGATATTTTTATCTCACATCCTTGTTATGCGCAGTCCGCAAGTGCAAACTACATCATCTTGCTAACACTCTGTTATTCTTATTTCGCGCTGCATCTTCGTTAAGAAAAAAAACCTACCTCCATGAATTATGCATACTCGATCTGTAACATTAAATCAATTAGCTGTGTGAAAAAAGGCATCCATTATTGAAGAAAGTATATTAAAAATTATCATATATAAGCATACTTTTTATATTTAATATAAAAAGTTATCTTGCGGATGAAATAACAAGATAACGTGAAATGTCGCAACATCATTTTTCGTCAAATCCTGATAACTTCTCCGAGAAGATACTTGGCTTCGAATCACATTGCGATGAAATTTAAAAACGTTTAATAAATTTTGTCGAATTGGCGAACGAAGCTTCGAACGAGAAATCCTTTGTTCAGGAATTGCGGGCAGGCGCCTTAATTATTCTGATTCAATTTTACGTTCGGACTACTTTTACTGAAATACTGAAAACGTTATTATATCGGCTCCTTTTTCTACCTACCTTCTCCGACCTTGTGGGACACGGCCTTCTCTGTAATTATTTCTATCTCTCTCTCCTCTTTGTGTTTTTTTGATCGCTTTCCTGACAGAGAACCTCGACAGTGTGGGCTCTATCCGCACATCTCCGCAGAGCTTAATAGATTCCGAAGATACTTCGCGCTGGAGTCTAACAGATATTAATCTTCATTAGAGCTGTCTCCGACATGCACGATATTCCTGAATTGGTCGTAAGATTAAGCTAATCATTTTGCATTTCTGATATTGCTAACAGTTACCTTTGATCAAGTTTGAGTGCACTGTTGTATATTAATATGACATCGTTTTATCTATCTATCCATCTATCCATCTGTCTATCCATCTTCATTCAATCTCTTTAACGTATCAAAATTATTCAGAGCTAAGGATGACGCAGACTGATCGTTTATTAAACCGAAATTTAAGATAGTAAACAAGATTTCATTCTTTGATTTTTGGCACCAAGTTTTTGTTAAGTCTTTTTAAAATTATTTTATTTTATTAGAATTATAAGAATTTTAGCAAAAAATAATTACTAAAATAAATTTATCGTATCACTAATAGGTTTGTCTATGTTGTATCATTTATTGTCGTGGTCGCATATATGTATACATTGGTCGACGTTTGTTACGTCAGTGTCAGAACGGAGTTCGGTTCACCGATAAAAGGCCATAAGGTCATCTCTTACAGTGAGATGCTTAATACGAGAAGCGCAATTATATGATTGCTGGTCTCTGAGATACACACTGGTGAAAGAGAACTTTGGGATAATCGCACCTACAATGTGCTTTATTTCGCTTACTGTATAATTGTCCACGATTAGCCTCGGATCGTTTGATCTCAGCTCTTTATTTATGATGTTACTGCTATATATAATAGGATCTATGTGCATTAAATAAAAGTAATTAAGTAAGAGGTATTAGCATATAGTACAATAAATTCTCATTGCGTGAATTTTTCTGTTTTTTTAAGTTTGTTTGTCAAATATATTACGTATGTAAATATAGCTACATTATTCATGTAGATATCTTTAAAGTCTTCAAGTATCGATATCTTTAGAGTTTTCAAATAATAATTGCATACATATTTTTTATTGCAACATTATATTTACATATTTTTTCCATATTAAAAAATTTTTCATCCATTTATTTATTTACTATTATTACTATTATTTTTTCATAATTTTAATACTCATATTGTATTATTTTTTAATATTTTTTAATTATTTCTTGTATTAAAAAATTTTTTAAATAGTACTTTCATATATTTTTTGTTTTCTTATATTTGCTTTCATATATTTTTTGTTTTCATCTTTCGAGAATTTGTGATATGCGATGTTGTAGTTATAACATAATAATTGTTTATTTTTTATTTTTTATTTTAATTTAAAAATTTATGACATAAAATTCTTTTTCTCACGATTATTATCATTGGCGAATTATATAAGCATGATACGCGAACAACGACCCGCATTATTTGAATGATACTCGACGTGATATTTAAAGAGCGGCGCTTTGTTCCTCGCTTCTGTTCTAAAATTTCATCGTACTAACGACCGTATCGTAAATAATAGATCTCGATTTTCTCTTCTTTGACTATCAAAGCACAATTTTTCGTTAAGAATCTCTCAAAGAATTCGCTCGCATTTCAAACGCTGTGCATTGAATTGTAAAAATTGAACCGAGGAATTTGCATAAAAAGTGCATCTCTCGAATTGATTGCAAATGCTAATCAGTAATTAACATACATTACACGAATGTAGAAAGTGAATCGGATGGAAGACAAGTTGAAGAATTGCAATAAAGTGATTTAATACGTCATTTTAGTACCTTAAATTATATTCGTGATGAAAATTACAATACCTCCTGCAGAGAATGATATAGACAAGGCTGTCGAACGTCAACTTGTGCGCGAGAGTTTTCTTTAGATCCGAATAATTACACGTAAGAGAGCTGCTAATTGATTCGTCGCGGAGTAAATTTCAACACACAGAAAACTGCATCCCGCGGGACGTGATTGTAATTTACGCCTGGAGAGAAAGTAGAGACTAACTGCGTTGCATCTACTGCATTTTTTAATCTTACGAAATACCAACCGCTGAGCTATGTTTGTAGATTTTTAATTTGATACAAAAAATGTAGAATACGCTCTTTTTTATTCTCTTTCATTAATATCATCTTAAAAATTTGATAAAAATATTTCTTTTAAGAGAATGCGTTTTTTTATCATGTATATAAAATATTTTGAAAGATAAAGAATTTAAAAAATAATTATATCATAATTTTTTATTTGTGTTAGAGATCTACTCCATCTTATAAAATATTTAATCTTTTAAGGAAGGAATTTTCTTTTATTATGTACATAAAATATTTTGAAGAATAGAGAATCATATCAAAATGTTTTTGTTTGTTTAGAGATCTACCACATCTTATAAAAATAATCGTAGACTGTTTACATTCTTAAAATCGACGTAAACATATCTGCGAGTCATCTGGTGCATTCACATCTTTATGCAATACTTTCCGTTTAAGCTGAAATTTGGCGTTTCGGACTTTTAGAGAAGGTTTTTTTTTCTCATGTATATAAAATATTTTGAAGGATAGAGAATTTAAAAAAGAATTATATCAAGATTTTTTGTTTGTTTTAGAGCTCTACCACCTCTTATAAAAATAATCGTAAACTGTTTACATTCTTAGGATCGACGTCAACATATATGCAAGTCATCTGGTGCATTCACACCTTTATGCAATACTTTCCGCTTGAGCTGAAATTTGACGTTTCGAACTTTTAGAGAAGGTTTTTTTTTCTCATGTATATAAAATATTTTGAAGGATAGAGAATTTGAAAAAGAATTATATCAAGATTTTTTTGTTTATTTTAGGGATCTACTACATTTTATAAAAAAAATCTTCTTAGAATCAACGTAAACATATCTGCGAGTCATTTCGGTGCATTCACATATTTATGCAATACTTTCAGCTTGAACTGAAATTTGGCGTTTCGGATGGCATGCAGGATAGAGTCATAAAACTCGGGAAAATAACGTAACTACCGGCCACCGGGCACTTGACACCGGAGTTTATACACGGGCTCTCGATGGAAGTGGCTCGTGCATCTGATCGGGGCCCTGCGATCGGACGGATCGAGGAAAACGCGGGGGAGAAAGGTAGGATGTAGGAGGATGTTGTTGTTGACCCACGGGGCAGAAACAGGTTTCGAATTCGGATTATGCCGACCCGAAACCGCTCCTCCACCACACAGTCACGTTCTTCCTACAATCGTTCTTTACAACCGCACCAAAGTGTGTATGCGAGTGCGCGCATCGACCCCCCACGCAACCTTTCATATAGTAAAAGTGCTGCTCTCCGATTCTCCTTCTTCGTCCTTGAACCCTCCTCTCACGTCTCTGCCTCCGAGGTAGCTCACGCGAGAGCGGCTATGTTATGTGAAGTGCCTTCGCACACACAGGAACTTCTCCCGATAATATATATTCACCTTCGACTCCAGCGAAGCGGGAGCAGGTAGCGCGGGGAGCCCTAGATCGTAAACGCGTAATCATCCTGTTCACGAAATAAGACGCACATAAGGATGAGATCGGGAGGAAGGACGAGAAAAGATACAGAGAGAAAAGGGAAGTTTGCCTGCTTGTTCTCTCTCTGGTTTTCTTTCTCTTCTTCTCTCGATCGGATCCAGTCTGAACCGACTCCAGTTTGCGGAGGGTTATCGTCCTTGAAGCGAGCCTTGGAACGGGACGTACTCCGTCACGGATGACAGGTCCCTTATCCCTTGGTCGCTTATCTCGCTCCTGTTTATCGGCGGCAAGAAGATGGCAGAGAACGCTCTGAACATGGAGATCGGTCGGCGAACAATTTTCCGCGTGATGGACACGAATGAAGGAATAAAAAAGTGTTAATAGCATTATGTATTTTAAGGTATTTTATTTTTTATATATATTCAATTTCGAATGAATTCCTCCAGTTCTTTGATGCTTAATTTTTAAAAAATCATAGATTCCCAAATATTTCAAGAAAAAATATTTCTTTTCATTGTAAAATAATTTTTGCATTTTTACAACTTTCTATTTCTATATATTTTTGTATACTTTTTTTTCTCTTTTCTATTTCTAATAGAATTTTATTTCTAATAACTACCTAGATCATTTTTTTATTAGATAAATAAAGAATTTCATGTGACTTTTTCTTTATAATAATAATTCACAGATATAGAAAACTTATTACTCAAGGGAGTTTGCGTTTAATTATCTCGGATTAATTATATAAAGCGAGATGCGCATTTCCTTCTGTTGGAATGTGCAACTTGACTTTAATCCATATTCGCTACAAATTTTGCCGAAATACACTCAAAGAGGATTATGACCTAAAATAACATACTGATTTCAAAATCTCTCATAATATTCCTGCGCATGTTTCCAGGATAATTCAAGCAGATTACTAATTTAGGAATTATCCATTTTGTAACACAATATGTCTTCTTTGCGAAATATTTTTATGATAAAGTAACGAGCAGATGTCAATTTCCGGCATCGTGTTAATAAGGCGAGCTCTCTTAATATGGTAGGGACGACTAAGAGAGCTGGATCTCAGTTGTACTCTTGAATCGCGCTTCAAGGGGTCTTTTCTGTCGCTCGACGACGATTACTTCTTCAGCATATGTACTTCAGGTTTCTCCGTGTACCCGCGAGAAATTTCTAACGGTATGCTGCACGTATGTATACATTAGAAATTATTTACGATTATTTCGCGTGAGGTCACTCATGGAGTAAATGGAACTTTAAATGCCGAGAATATTTAATAAAGAATATTTTTAAATAAAGAATATTTAATAACAAATATTTAATCAAGAATATTTTTTTAATAAAGGATGTGTAAGATAATGCTTTCCTTTTGTTCTGAAAGGTAAAAGATATCACACTTTAATGTATTTATATATATATTATAATGTTGTAGTTATATTTTTCTGCTAATAAAAACTTTTTTAATTATGATTCGAACGATCTTGCGTCTCTAAGCTTATAATGTAAAACTTAATTGACATTATATTTTATTTGCGAGTGACACAATAATTTTATTATATTTATAGTAGAACTTGTTACATAATATCTTAAAAAATAGATATAAAAAAATCGACATATCATTTTGTTGCTAGCTTTATAAATTGAAAGTTGAAAATGTGGAATTTATATTCGCAGAAAAGAGTATATTTTTTAAAAGATTTGCTTTAAAAGATACGAGTATATGATTGTTTATTATTTCATCTCTATTAATTTTCCCATTTTATCTTTATACTTCTTTTATCTCTGTTATTTTCTGTGCGCGAAATATTCCCATTCGTTTTCTATTGATTCATGCTAACGAGTAATGTAATATTTCTTTTTTTATCCTGCAAACATTCTGTCAGTTTCTTTCTTTTTTAAATTTTTTTTTCGGAAGAATTAAACTTTTAGAACGGTATATAAAATATGTTTCTATATTTTTTTTATTATATAAATAGATTTCCGAAAGCCTAAAATGTATCTATCCAGTCTTTAATATTCAGTATTCAATATTAATCCTGTTTCAATTATTTTTATTTTGAGATTATCTTATCGACTAAAAAAATAACGGATATAAAGTATTGTAAAATAAATCATTTATGCTCATACAAATATAATGTGAGACAGTAACTTTTTAAAAATAAAAATATATGCCGAAGAGAGAGAATATCGAAGGAAATAAATAATAATGAAACGCAAATAATATATATATGATAATAATAATAATAATAATAAATTTTATACGTAATTACTTATGTAATTATTGTTTTTAAATTCGTGCGGTTTCGGATTAGAGTGTATTTCCTTTATATTTTATACTTCTTATCTTTTATTATAAAATGATTTTCCCAAATTCAAATTACACACAAATTGTATCACACAAATTGTTTAATTGTTAGCTAAACTAAAATTGAATTTAAATCTATTTAATTGCTAGAAGTACAAATAATCGATAAATGTAACAATTACATTATATTAATCGTCTCATTGGAATATATCTAAAAAAAATGTAACGTGTTATTAGGAACACTACATTTTTTGCGACGCCATCGCGTCGACTGGCGCCAACCTAGCGGCGACTGCGCGAACCTTAAACCGGCTTCTACTACTCCGCCATGTTAGTTGGAGAGAGACCGCGCGAGGCGACGCGTGGAATAGTCGCGTCGTACGCGACTCGTGCTCTCAGTCGGCTTTCAGACCTCCGAATGGGAGATTCGGTCTCGCTATTTTTTTTCGCGTATGTACGTAAACAAACGAGATTCACGCGCGTCGCGTTGAGTTTCGTACACAAGTGAAACCTTCCGTCGCGCCTGCTCTCATTAATCAGTCAGTGTGATTGCGTTGGATCGCCGGATGGACATTTTCTACAAGGATATCCGACGCGTTTCGAAGAAGCAGTGACATCGTATCGCGACTTTCATGCTTCGTGCATCGAGTACCGGTTCGCAGGGCTTGATACGGGGCTCGCTTGCGCGTCGAGGATCAGCGTAGCTATGGAGCCACAGGATTGTTAATTGAGCTTTCTCTCTCTTCAAGTCGGTGAGTAAAACGACTAACGTGTAATGCATCGATCGGGCAACGCGACCGATCATTAGCGCGGCCATTGTGTATACCCGACACCGGGATTTATCTCGCCGGTTTCTCCTTTCGTGCGATCGCAATCTTCTGTTAATCAAATATATTCGTGTTTTCCTAATTACGTGTACCATGTGCCGTGATTCGTCGTTTTTTTGGGAGATAAAAAGCGCGCGAATTTAGCCGCGCTATGACGTCGCGCCTGATCGAGCGGTCTGAAGGTCGCCGCGGCAGCCTTTTTTTCTTTGCGTTCAAATAAGAGTCAAGTACTTTACGATAGCAATTATTACTGTATCTCGTATAAGCATTTTTTCCGGATAATATGTTACACAATCCGTAGACGATAGTTTTCGTAGTAAATGTCGCAGTGGGAATCAAATTTACATCGTAAATCGAATGTACGACGTCATTGATTTATTCCCACTGGTAATAAAATATTTGTTGTTGATTTTTTATTAACGGCCTCTAAAATTATTGCGCGAAGTGATCGATAATTATTGACGTCGTTTTATACCGCACATTGATATTATTTTTATTAATCAGTGTTATCAATATTGTTTAACGTTACGGGTACATAAATAATATTAATCAACATTACCATTATTTGATATTATTAATGCTTTATTGTGTAATAATATTACGACGTTATTTAATATCCATAACACGCGTTTGTGATATTTTCGTACAGACGATTTAAATATATCATGTGCCATGCGGGAATAAATAGTCGAGTGTCAAAAAGTAAAAAATAATGTAACATTCGGCTCAACACGAGACGCTTGTATTTTTTCGTCAATGTCGTTCTTGAGTAAACATTCGGGACGAAGGGTAGATACACTATTTTCACATATACATATATATATATATATATATATATATATATATATATATATATATCATATCTTTCATTAGCGCTTTTACATTCTTCGCGTCATCGTTCGCGCGCAAGATTCCGTCGTATACCGGGTGTCCGATACTCGCGGAGCACGCTCTCGATATACAATATCGAGCGAAAAGAGGGCGAGAAAAAAAAAGAACACTGACATTTAATGATCCAGTTAGTCCGATTCCCTTCGGTCACTTTGTTTATGGCAGTGTATTAGAGAGCCTTGCCAGTTCATTGTGCATCTTTCTTTCTCTTTCTCTCGTTCTTTCTCGCTTCAAACGAAGCCGGGCCGCCTTCGCAGCGGTACAAATCACGAACAACGACAGAGGTCGTAATCCCGAGAGCAATGCGAGAGCCTCGAGGAGCGATATATATTTCCTCGCAGGGCGTGGTGATTAGCACGATGGTAATAATTTTGACGCATAGTTAGGTGTACTTAATGTTGCGGTCGTATTATTCGCGAGTTGTTTTTTCGAGTCACACGGTATACGAGAGAACGTGCTATCCCTCGAGCATCGGGATCGTGTTATTCGACGATCGAAAAACTGAATGTGAATAATGATAGCACGTCATCGTGTTTTTCTTCTTTTTTTTTAATAATTCTAGCCTGAGATTTACTCGAGCAACAGAAGATTAAAATTCGATCCGGAAATTAACGAGACTTACATATATCTTTGCTATTGTTAAATCTTGCCGAATATTTATCGAGACGCTTGTATTTTCAAAGCAAATGTGATCCGGAGATACTTGACATACATCGATATATTTTCGATCTTATCTGTCGTTAAATTCGAAGACTACATTTTTTTTCTGTGTTCATGATATATGATTATTATTCCATAAACTGTAGAGAATATATTTATAATCTTCTTTTACAAGCAGTATATACATTGAAAACTATAACGTTAAAATTATCTTCCTGTGCTTAGAATAGAAATTATTATTATTAATATATTTAAAAGCGTGATTTAAAAAAAAATATTATTGGAATTAAATAATATTGTAATCAAGTATTCCGAGAGAACACTCGCTTTGTTTTTTACATTAATTATTGATAGTAACAAATTATACGTATACACAATGCATCGATCGATCGATACGAGGAAGTCGTGGTCGAAGACGTAACCTCCTCGTTTTCTGCACGACCTATAAAAATTTATATAAAAGTCTCTCGGACGCAGCGCGACTTGTCGTGAGGTCATGAATAATTTATCGAAGCGCGTCCCCATCGTTTCGTGCAAGGAGAGAGAAGGAGAAAGACGTCGAGTGCCGTTTATACGATCCAGAGGTCTGGATTTCTCTGGCCCCCTCTATACGATCCTTTGTCGTGGAATAACAATAACAGACGTGGATTGCGTTTAATTGGTGCCACAGATTACGAAACGCGCGCCGCGTAAACGTAAGCTTTGGGGTGGTTGTGTTTTAGTCGTAAAGTATACTATAAACAAATCTTTTACTAACTGTTAAATATGATGAGAAACGCGAGATGCGAGTTATCAATCTTTCACGGCACGAGAATGTTTCAAGCATGCGTGTTGTATAATTATACGTCATATATATTTTAAAGATTTATATAAAAAAATTTTATTAGAGGCGATTGTCTTTCTCCCTTATTTGTTATTATTTATAGAAATTACTTATAATTATTATTATACTCTTCGTTTATCTGTTATTATTATTTATAGTGATTTGAAGTCTTAAGAATTTGCAGCATTTAAATTGATTAATTAAAATCAATTTATATAATTAAATTGATATCGATTCATCAATTTAATGGTAATTATGCATAAAAGGGGCCTCTTCTCCGATTTGCTTTATTTTTAAATATGTATTTATATATAGGGGAGATCTTTCCGAATCATTTCGTATACATATATAAGGGTCGGACTCGAATAGCTTTGGAGATATAGGCTGAAAAGGGATAAAAATAATAAATACAAAAATTCGTGTGGAAAGTCGCAAATGCAAATATTATAATTTTACCATATCATATATGTTTAAGAAGAAATATATTTTATTAAAATTATTTTTGTATTTTTGTATATTTGTTATTTTTATCCTTTTTCAGTCTATATCTCCAAAACTATTTAAGTCCGACCCTTATATATACGTACGAAATTACTGGGGAAGATCTCCCCTATACATATTTAAAAATGAAGCAAATCGGACGAGAGGAGGCCCCTTTTATGTATAAATACCAATTTGATTATTTCATATTCTTAATATTCCAAATTATTGCAAATAAAAATAACAAATAAGCTATAAATAATAATAATAATTATAACTAAATAATAATTATGATTTATCGCAATTTAGAATCTTAACAATTTGAAATAATTAAATTGACTTAGTTAATCAATTTAATTATTTCAAATTAAAATTCTAAATTAAGATTAAAAAAAATTTAAATTACTATAATAATAATAAATTACTATAATAATAATAATAATTATAGCTAAATAATAATTATGATTTATTGCAATTTAGAATCTTAACAATTTGAAATAATTAAATTGACTTAGTTAATCAATTTAATTATTTCAAATTGTTAAAATTCTAAATTAAGATTTAAAAAAATTTAAATTACTATAAGATTGCTATAGATAATGATACAAGTAAGAAATGCAATCGCCTGGTGGAATCAGTGACATTGAAATTCGCTTCCAGAGTCCATCTACGTACGTTTGTGCGTTAATCGAGACATTTACGTGTTAATCTTTACGAGTATCTCGCGGACGTCGCGCGCGGAATACGTGAGGCCAGATACAATGTGAAACGACCCAACGTGAAATCCGCGCCGAGATACATGCACAATTCGCGTGCAGCGTGCTCGAAACACGTTGCACGTCGTGTCGCACTCGGTCTGCATGTTGCGCTGCTTTAGCATTACCCGGCTGTCTAGATGTAATGGCCTGTCGGACTGATGGGTACACGTAACGGCATGGCGGCAGCGCGAGATAAAAAGGCCATAATTTACCATTCGCTTTACACATCCGTTTATTAACGCGCCTGCTATATCTCTGCTTGCGTTGTATCCGAGCGCGGAAGACCCAAGGATAGTTTATACCGTTGAATAGACGAAAATCAAGACACGCGCAATGTGTGTGCGTTTATGGAGATTATCCTTTTTATCCTTCCCGAAAGGAGCAGTCACATATGTTTTGAATTTAATATCGTACGAAGGGTAGTCGTGAAAGATTTTTAAGATAGTCCTGAGAAATATCAGTAAATTTTAATACGTTAATAATGAATGCGTATTTTCTCTTGTAAAATAAGTTTTATATAAATTTTTGTAAAGCATTCTCAAAAATTCTAGAATCTGTGAAAAACTAATGCCTTGTGTATATAATCTTTTAATATTTTTTGCGACTTATTGCAACATACATAAAATATTAAATTGAAACATATAAACCCGAGCAACCCCACTTAAATATATATTAAATATATATTACATTAGAAGCCAGTGAAAAAAAAATGAGATATAGGTTCCATCGAAAGATTGAAAAATGAAATATTTATCCATCGAAGGATTGAAAAATAAAATATTTATTCGACGCGTGAGAGATAAATAAAAACCCGATATATTTATTTATATAAATCTTATTCGGATTTTATAGAGAGAAAGAGGCGATTTAATACCAATGCAGGTAATTTTACGACGAGGGATGCGACGCGATGATAATTTCTCCGCACGGTATCGCGCGTGCATAAATTTCTATCGACGACGAGGCGAGCTAATCGGACGGTGTACTTATCGCGGAAAAAGTAACGGTAAGAGAGCGACGAGACGAGAGGAGAGAGGAGAAGAGACCAGGCGTGTCCAAAGTTATCTCCCCATGTCGAAGAAAGACTTTCGCAACATGCCGTTCTCACGACATAAATTAAAATCCGCCACGAGTCCTTACCTATATCTACTCACCTTACCTTACCTTACCTTCTTTTACCGCTTCGAGTTTTATAACCGCCAACACGTTGCATACAATCTGGCCAATTCCTTCATGACTCGTGCCGATCCTAATCTTCGGTGGATAGACATTATAGGAGCACTTCAGTATGCTAATAGGATTATACAAGTATT